GATAGATAGATAGATAGATAGATAGATAGATAGATAGATAGATAGATAGATAGATAATATTTTCTTAATCATAAATGGCTATAAGTGTTTATCTTTCTGTTGCACTTCTGAGACAGCTAACGCTCTTATTTTCTATGAAGAAGGCGCCATTAGTAATACTAAACCTGATGCCTCTACATTAGCTTTAAGGCAGCAGGTCCAAATCAGATCATCTTATCAAGAGATTCTGAACACCATGCCGTTCACACAGCAGTGGGAAAGATTGAAGGCCCCACATCGTCTCATAGGAACACGTTTAGCAGGACAACTGTGTGTCCCATTGTTGTAGTCAAAGAGCTAAGCTTAATAACTTTAGCTGATGTACTCAAGATTCTCAAGGCAGTTTGTTTTTGTTTGGTTTTTTTCAAAAAAAAGTAAAAGGAAGGTATTTACATAAAAATCAGACAATAAGCACTTGCGCTGCTTCAAAGCTCCTAAAACAGTCAATTATCAAAGATATAAAAAGCAGTTTGTAAAGTATATGAATAAGATCAGAGAAAAGGTTTAAGTAAAGAAAATGCATAATGCTGCAAAAGAAGGAGAAAAGTGGCGCATTCCCCACAAAGGGCTATATCAACCCCAGAAACCAGTCAACTTTGGCCAGTCTTCCATACCTCAGCAAAATACATAGGTAATTGTCTCAGTGATCATTTGCTGTCAAGCCCAGATTTTTGCTTAACAATGTAAATGGTGATCTCATCTTATTTAGAAGGCATCAAGTTTTACTATCATGTGATATTGGAAAAAATGCAACAATTCCACGTATATGGAGCCAACAGAGACTATTGTCATGATCTTGTCGCTGATGACTGGCTTAATTGTGTATTTCATTCTCCTGCCTAGCTCTGTCCAGTTTCTCATTACCACTCATCATATCCACCTGTTCCAGCTTCTATTTAAACTGCTTGCTTCCAGTCTTCAGTGCCAGATTATTCTTGAGCCTTTGGTGTAGGAGTTTTCTAGCTTTACTTATTGTGTTCTGATTGCCTGATCTTCACCCATTCTGTCTTGGACCTTTGAGCCTGCCTGTCTCTGTTCTGATCTGTTTGCCTGACCTGTCTTTGGATTCTTGCTGGATGCTACTGGTAGATTATGCCTGGATCTACCTTCTGACTTCACCCTCTGGATTATCCTGCCTTCCTTTGTCTGCTTGGATCTGATTACCTGTCAGTTCTGTAATCTTCAAGGCTTTCAGCATCTGGAACTGTCATCCGACCACCTGGTATCAACCTCATTTTCTGGGCATGGACTGTACTCTAAACCAAGTTAGTGACTCACACATTCATATTATCCTCCGTCAGGTTTTCGTGGTCACTAACCTGTGTTTCCTGCCTTAAGACACCCTAGTCACTGCTTCTGTAAATTCCCAGTCAAACGCCAGCCGAATGGCAGCCTACTCCCTGCAACTCGAAGCAAAATCCCCTCCAACCACCAGCCACTGGCCTTCTCCTGGGCGTGCATATTTTTTTACTCTGACTCCACCCTTTCACTTAATTACAGGGTCTGACCAGGAGATTATGCTTTTCTTTATATCTTAATGTCCACAAACCATGACAGAAAGAATATCTAAGTCAAAAGATGAATGTTTAAAAAGGAATTGTAGAGGACCAGCCAAAGGCCCATCAAGAAAAGTGGGGAAATTTTGAATGGCTACTACTGTATCCCACTGTCTGCCTTGCCTGAATACAGGGTCCTCTGTCCTGAGTCGTAACAAGTATTTGATATTTTTATAGTGAAAAAAAAGGCAAGCTTAACACACAGACCCAGGAATTAAAAATGACATTGCAAGTTTTTGTAAATCCCCAACCAGTTGTGCCAATTATGAATCTCAGGCGATCTTATTGTGTTCAGCACCTAGCTAAACAAAATGAGATATTGTTTCCCTTTGCATCTAACTTCTTGAAGAGGAACACCTTTTTTTTTTTTTTTTTTACATTGGCCCCTTGATTTTACGTTATTATACACACTCCGATTTGTTTTTAAAAGATATAAATATTAAAAATAAAACCGTGGATGTCTGGGGGACAGTGATTTGCCTACATGTTATGAATGCTGGCGTACCATAAAGAATAAATTATCAACAGTTTAGTTTGTGCCTTTAACCCGTTGCCCATAGGAAGACGTAACTTGGACATAACGAAAACAAATATCTTCAGAACAGCTCCAAATGACACAAAACTAATATGGGTCAGTAGAACATGATGTAATAACGTAAAATCAAGGGGCCAATGTAAAACAACCGGTGTTCCCCTTTAATACAGATTTTTCTAGTAGACGATGGTGTTACAACTTCTGCTGGAGGCTCAGATACAGTGCATCAGGCAGCCTCAACCTACACAAGATTGTAAGTAATGGCAAAACAGTACCCAAAAGCATTTCAGCATCTGAGCCTCCCAGCACCAACCAGGTGACCTAGCAGTTAATAACTCTAGAGCACTAAGAAATCCCTGGCACATTCGTTTGGAAATAATCCAGTTTTATTTGCGCCATAATGACCAACCTGCTACAAGGTGTGGCATCCTATCCTATCTATGGTTGAATCTCTTTATGACCCACTGGGATTTATCTTCCCCTTCATACTCCCAGTCTAAATAATGTGGGATGACAAGAAAGGAGAACCGGAGAACCTGGAAAAATCTCAATAACACGCTTTTACATCACCAATGACTTCGGCTAAATAGTTAGAACAGAGTAGCAGCTTTTTTTTCTGACGCCAACTCATATGGTTATGGTCAGTGTTTTTATGTACAATAAATAAATAAAGATAAGGTTGCTCTGCTTTAGTAAAAGAAAATACCAAGATTTGAACTGAAAGCTGCTGCCATCTCTGATAGAGCTATGTTGAACTCAGATTGCCACAGATAAATCAGTATTTCTGTAGTGACTCTAAGGTTGTTTTTGGCTAGATTAACAATGATTCACACCAATTTCATACATTTGTTTCCAGCAAAGTTCAAACAACATGGATATGCAGCTTCCCCCAGTAGTGACATCACATCATCTCTTCTGAACAAAATTTGCCAGTGCCAGTGAGCTCATTACATCAGACTGGTTCAAATGCCTCAGTTTCTATGGGGAAAAGAAACATGGGAGCATATGGTACAGGGGAGAGTGGGACACAAGTTTTATATTCCCCTCCTACTGTCATATTTAAAATTACTCGTAAAACTGACTATTAGCGTTCTGTTAGTTGGATTTATTCACCTTATTATTATCTGCCTTTTGTGTGCTTATTGTGCTACCAGCAATTAATTAATTAAATAGAATTCAACTCGGTGTTCTACTGCATTTAGCACCATAGACAATTAGACTTATGGTCTAAGTCTAATTATGTGTTTGAGTTGTAAAGGAATACAGGAAACCTCTGTTTCTCATGTTTCATTTTTAAAGTGTCCTTTACCATTTATGAATTCCCCCCACTCTGTTTATCAATGTTGGGCTGCATATTGGAGCAGTTTTTTAGTGCTGTTGTCTTGCAGCAAGAAGATCCTGGATACAGTTCCTGGCCCAGGGTCTTTCAGCATAGAGTTTGCATGTTCTCTCCGGGTACTATTTCCTACAGTAAAAAAACATGGCTGCTAGGTTAATTGGCATCTTTAAATTGTCCTTAGGTGTGTGTGCGTGCATGTTTGTTTTTTGATGGCACACAGCACTAAAAATGAAATACGTAAATTTGATTTCCCTACAACCAAATAATGCCCACCATGGGCATTATCTCAAATAGTGTTTTCTCTCTTCAAGCATTGAGGAGCCAGTGAGTCCCTGACTTCATGTAGACTTTGCCCTTTAGGTTCATTGCTAGTGTGTTAAAGGCAGAGCAGCATGTAATCTATCCTAGGTCATAAAGCATCTATGCAAGCAGGCAATCAGGGTGGTGACAGACCATTAACCTACTGCTGTTAAACATACAACAAACTGTGACGGTATAGAAGAGAAAGTTATTGGGATACAAATTTATAGAAATCAGTTGCTAGATCATGTATATTGATGCAGCACAACAAGCCCCCGCAGACCTTTACCATTTCAATATGTGAGGGACCGAGCAACAAAAAAATTACAGGGATAATAAATAAAAAAAAATGAAGTCAACAAAAATAAAACAACACAAACAACTGAAGTATCAATTGACCTGACAAACTGACACACAAAG